GACCCCTTTCGAAAATAACCTAATGAGATTTTTTTCTAGATTTTGAGGTTTAAGTTATGTCCGGCTTTATTTATTCGAAAATTTGTACCATTTTTTCAGAATCACCAAAAAAAAGAACGATTTTGTCATATCTATTTTAAAAATTTGGTTTTGGGCTACAATATTTTGAAAAACAGCAGCTATATTGAGTTTGGATCTTTTTCACTAATAAACGTCGAATTTTTGAGCAAACACGTTTTTTTTTTTAATTTTAGACCACCTAATTTTTCCGAAATTGCTCTAAATAATTGGTCCAAAAATTTACGACTAGCCTGGAATTTTGGATATTCGTCTGAAATTTTGATTTAAGACCTAAACAGAATGTCGTTGAATTCTCGTCTGCAGAATTTTTTGTGGGTTTTTAAGCAACTCTTCCAAATGCTCTATTTTTCAAAACTCCCATTTAATGAAATTTTCGACCTTTTTTCGACCAGTTTCAAAAATTACCTAAAGACATTTTTTGATAGATTTTCAGCTACAGAAGTTATTTTCGGCTTCATTTATTCGAAAATTCGTACCATTTTTTCAAAATCACCAAAATGAAATGTAAACAATTCTTGAGATATTTTAAAACTTTGGATTTGGGTCCAAATATTTCGAAAACTATTGGCCGTATTGATTCTGAATTTTTTCACCGATTGACGTCGAATTCCTGCGAAAACCTTTTCCAAAAGTTCTGTTTTTCAAAACTCCCGTTTTATGAAATTTTGGATTTTTTTCGAAGACTTTCAAAATTATGTAATGAGTTTTTTTGTAGATTTACCTCTACAGAAGTTATTTTCGGCTTCATTTCTTCGAAGATTTGTACCATTTCTCCAGAATCACCAAAATGGAAAGTAAACAATTTTTGAAACATTTGAAAAATTTGGCTTTGGGTCCAAATATCTCGAAAACTGGTAGCCATAATGACGTTAGATTATTTAGATTAAGCTCGTTGAAGCCTATCTTCAAGATTTTTTTTGTAGATTTTTAAGCAATATTTCCAAAAAGCTCAATTTTTGAAAAATGACCTAAATAGATTTTTTTTGTAAATTTTGAGGCTTCATTTCTTCAAAAAAAAGTTATATCTATTTTAAAATTTGACCTTGGACCTGAATATTTCAAAAACCAGTAGATATTGACTTTGGATTTTTTTCAGTAATAAGACGTCGCATTTTTGAGCAAACACTTGTTTTTTTCAATTTTAAGCTACCTTATTTTTCTGAAATCTTGGTTAGGGACCTGAACAGGCGATGGGGTCAAAATCTGTTTTGTAAAATTATTTGTGGACCTCAAGCAACTTTTCCAAACATTTTATTTTTCAAACAAGGAGAGAGGCGAACAATTTTGACATATTTTAAAATTTTGGTTTTGGCACAAGTATTTGCGAAACCAATAGCCGTAATGACATTAGATTATTTTCTTTGATAGTTGTAACATTTCTACTCAAACACATTCTTTTTCATAATATTTGGCTACGTTATTTTTCCACATTTTTTTTTTAATTTTAGGCCACCTAATTTTTTGGAAATTGCTGTAAATACTTAACAAAAAACTATGATTAGTCTGGAATTTTTGATACTCATCTGAAATCTTGATTTGGTACCTGTTGTCGAAATCTGTCTTGTAAAAGTGTTTGTGGACTGTCAGCAACTTTCCAAAAGTTCTATTTTTCAAAATTCCCGTTTCCTGAAATTTTGGGTTTTTTTGACCACCGTCGAAAATTAACTAAAAAGTTTTTTTTTTTGTACATTTACAGAAGTTATTTTGGGCTTCATTTCTTTAAAAATGTCTATGATTTTTTTCAGAATCACAAAAATGAAAGATAAACAATTTTGAGATATTTTAAAAATTTGGTTTTGGAACTAAATATTTCGAAAGCCAGTTGTCGTTTTGACCTCATAGTTGCTTCATTTCTGCTCAGACACGATCTTTTCCATAATATTTGGCCACCTAGTCAACAGCTTATGGAAATCTATGGTCCAGAATTTTTTGAAAATTTTTAAACAATTTTTCCAAAAAGGTCAATTTTTTTAATACGAAGTTTTCCACCTATTTCGACTATCCTCGAAAATTACTTAAACATTTTTTTTGTAGATTTTGAGCTCTAAACGTTATGTTCGGCTTTAATTAAAATTTGTACATTTTTTTAGAATCATTAAAATAAAAGCTAAACAATTTTGTGATATCTATTTTAAAATTTTGGTTTTGGAGCCGAATAGTTCGAAAAGCACTAGACATATTGACTTTGGAATTTTTCACTAATAAAAGTCGAATTTTTGAGCAAACACGTTTTTTTTCATAATTTTGGACCACCTAGATTTTTCGAAATTTTCGACCTTTTTTCGACCAGTTTCAAAAATTACCGAAAGACATTTTTTGATAGATTTTCAGCTACAGAAGTTATTTTCGGCTTCATTTATTCGAAAATTCGTACCATTTTTCCAAAATCACCAAAATGAAAAGTAAACAATTTTTGAGATATTGTAAAAATTTGGATGTGGGCCCAAATATCTCGAAAACCAGTTGCCGTAACGACAATGGATTATTTTCCCCAATAGTCGTATTATTTCTGCTCAAAACACGATTTTTTTAAATAATTTTTGGGCAACTAGTCTTTCCAAAATTGATCCAAATATCCAAAAATTTCGATATTAGTCTGTAATCTTGACCCAGGACCATAAAGACCCTATGTTTTTGGATTCAGCTCGTGGAAATCTACCTTCCAGATCTTTTTTGTATACTTTTAACAAGTTTTTCAAAAAAGTGAATTTTTTAATACAAAATTTTCCACCTTTTTCGACTACCCTCGAAAAATACTTAAATAGTTTCTTTTTTGTTTGTAGATTTTGAGCTTTAAAAGTTATGTTCGGCCTCATTTCTTCGAAAATTTTTACCATTTTATCGGAATCCTAAAAAGAAAAGGTAAACAATTTTGTAACATCGATTTTAAAAATTTGGCTATGGACCCGAATATTTCGAAAACCAGTGGTTTTTTCACTAATAGACGTCGAATTTCTGTGCCAATTGCTTTAAATACTTTGGTCCTTAACAAAATTTTGTAAAGTTGCCTAAAATTTTGATTCAGGATTCAGCTCATGGAAACCTATTTTCCAGATTTTTTTTCTAGACTTTAAAAAAATTTTTACAAAAAGGTAAATTTTTTTATATGAAATTTTTCACCTTTTTTCAATTACCCTCGAAAATTACCCAATTGAGATATTTTGAAAATTCGGCTTTGGGTCCAAAAATTTCGTAAACCATTAGGCGTATTGAGTTTGGATTTTTCACTGAAAGACGTCGCATTTCTGCCACCTAATTTTTCCGAAATTACTCTAGATACTTAGGTCTTCTACAAAAATCTACGATTAGTCTGGAATTTTGGATATTCGACTTTTCCAAAAATTCTATTTTTCAAAATTCCGGTTTTATCAAATTTTGGATTTTTTCGATCACTTTTCCAGAATCGCCAAAAATGAAACAGAAGCCATATTAACTTTGGATTATTTTCCATAATACTTCTTCAGAATTTTCTAAAAATTCGTACAATTTTTAGAAACTTACCAAACTGAAAGATAAACAATTTTGAGGTATTTTCAAAAAAAATTGGCTTGGGTCAGAATATTTCGAAAACAAGTAGCTGTATTGACTGTTTTTTTTTTTATAATTTTTGACCACCTAATTTTTCGGAAATTGCTCTAAATACTTAGGTTCTTAACAAAAATCTACGATTAGTCTGAAATTTTGGATATTCGTCTGAAATTTTGATTTGGGGAGAAAATTGTCTGTGGACTTAAAGCAACTTTTCCAAAATATCTGTTTTTCAATACTCGTATTTTATGAAATTTTCGATCTTTTTTCGACTACTGAAATTAAGAATAAATAATTTTGACGTCTATACAAAAAAAAAATAGAAATTAGTATTAGTGTTATTTCTGTGTGATTGACTGTGGAAATTATAAAATACTACTCACACGTAATGGCCATTAATTACATTTGGCTGCTGCTCGTGTATCAAACTTTATTCTCGTGAATAATTGCCATTATTACACACTCGTAACCAATAATATTAATAATTCCATAAATTTAAACAACTATTAACATCATGAACCGGAATTTCAACGCCCATTCACCACAATACAATCAATCCTTCCCCCAATTCCCGCCATAAACCTGACACCTTTTTTTTTAAACACGATCGCCAAAAATGAGCGATAAAACCACCAGACAAAGTATCAATTCAATCATCAATTACCATTGCTTATTTACTCGAAACGTAAATATTTTCTCTAAAATTTGTTAAACACAGATAATCCCTCGAGGAGGTCCGAGTATCAATTTAGCGCGATAATCGCGTAATACACTCCAAAGAATCGTAACTTTGAAACAATTTGACCTATGACCGCTCGTATACGATATTGTTTGTTTGTATTTCAGCACGAAAGACTAAATAATAGCCGACCTTGAAGCCCAAAAGGGTTCAAAACGAGTTTTTTCAAAATTATTTTTCAAAAAAAAAAGTTCAAAAAAATTGCTAGCCTAAAAAAGGTAGTCAGTATGTTTACTGGAAGGAACTAAAAAGATGATGCAACTTGGCGCGAGTCGAGGAGATACTTTTAAAACACTTAGTACCGGTACTAAAAAAATCTAATAGTAATTAATATATTGTGTCAAAAACATTTCCTAGAACCTTTTTTTTCTATTCAGAGTACTGGTGTGACTAATGCCAGACATTTTTTTGCAATTTATACATCACTACAACTCTCAGACAAAAATGAGTTCAACTCATCACGAGAACAAAGCGATTTATTAGACGTTTTATCATCCAGTGTGCATGACTTAATGGTCACATCGGTCTCATCATGCAAAAAAACGGAAGCGAACCACGACTGGCCGGAGGTCACTTGATATTCTTGTAGAGGGGCTAGCCAATTTTGTATAAAAGGACTCTAGTACTACCCAGCAGACACAGTTTGGTACTACAACAAACATGAGGTTCGCCGTCTTAGCACTCCTTGCAGGGTTGTGCGCCCTGGGCTCGTCCTACCCCCAGCAGCAACAAATCAGTCAGTACCACAGTACCATTTGTACATCTTCAATCTAACCTACTCTTAATTTCGTTATAGATGACAAACAGTTTCTGGAGAGACAGCGAGATGTTCTTCGTTTGTTCCGGTACGTCAACCAACCCAGCTACTTCAAGGAGTACGTCCAAGTAGGACAGAACTACAACATCAGTGAGCACCAAAACGACTACACTGTAAGTTATAAATTTAAATTCGTTTCGGGCATAATCATTTTTCCTGAATTAGAACCCTCAAGTGGCTCAGTACTACTACCAAATCTACCAGTACGGGTTGCTTCCAAGGGGGCAGGTCTTTTCCATTTTCTACCAAGAGCAGCTGCAGCAAGCCATTGCTTTGTACCGACTCTTCTACGCCGCCAAAGACTACCAGACTTTCTACAATACAGCAATCTGGGCCCGTCAAAACGTTAACGAAGGTGTCTATTTATACGCACTTAGTGTCGCTATAGTCCATCGCCCGGACACCTACGGAATCGTGCTTCCGCCAATCTACGAAGTTTACCCGTACTACTTCTTCAACAACGAAGTTATCCAACAAGCTTATAGGTACAAGCAACAGTACTACCCACAGAGGCAGCAAAATGAAGGACAAGGTAGCTACAATGGTTACACCATCAATGCGAACTACTCCGGGTACTACTTGAATCTGAACCCTGAACAATCGTTGTCGTACTTCACCGAAGACGTAGGAATTAATTCCTTCTACTACTACTACAACATCTACTACCCGTACTGGTTGGGTGGCCAAGACTTCGACTACTCACATGATCGCCGTGGCGAACTCTTCTACTACGTATACCAACAGATCTTAGCCCGGTACTACCTGGAACGCATCTCCAATGGTTTCGGCGAAATCCCATTCTACAACTGGGAAGTACCATTCCAAACTGGGTACTACCCATCGTTGCAGTACTCGAACGGTTTACCCTTCCCAGTCAGACCCAACTACGCCAACTTGTACGAGTACTTCTACAACTACGGTCAAAGATATGGTAGCAACAGATACGCCTACAGTTACACAAGAGTACAAGATTTCGAGAGAAGAATTCGTGATGCCATTGATAGAGGATACGTCTACACGGTAAAATCACCCAATTTCAACTAACTATATACCTATAATAAAACAATTGCAGCCCGACGGCCAACAAGTCTACTTCAACACCCAAGAAGGCATCAACATCCTCGGAAACCTAATCGAGTCCAACCCAGATTCACCTAACTCTCAGTATTACGGTGCCATCCAAGTCTACGCCCGTCACCTCCTGGGGTACTCCTACCAACCCTTGAACCAGTACCAAGTGGCCCCGTCTGCTTTAGAACACTACGAAACCTCCCTCCGTGACCCAGCTTTCTACCAGTTCTACAAGAGAGTAGTTTTGTTCTTCCAGCTGTACCAATCGAATCTTACATCTTACACCGAACAAGACTTAACCTACCAAGGGGTTGAGGTTACCAATGTCCAGTTTGACCGTCTTGTCACCTTCTTCGACTACTTCTACTCCGATCTTAGCAACGCTGTGTTCGTGACCCCTCAAGAGTACGACACTGACAAGGTCCAAGTGAGAGCTAGGCAGTACCGTCTCAACCACAAAGCTTTCACCTACAGAATCTATGTGAATTCTAACCAAGAACAACAAGCTAGTGTGAGGGTGTACATAGGGCCCAAGTATGACGAATATGGTCGCTATGTCAATTTTACCCAGAATAGACTGAATTTTGTGCACTTTGACCACTTTAGATATAGTTTGCAGAAGGGCGAAAACGTGATTGAACGCAATTCGCGCCAGAGCTACTTCTACCAGAATGATAGAACTAGCTATAGAGAGTTGTACCAGAGAGTACTGGGTGCTTTGGAGGGTAATGGTGCCTTTACTGTCGATTCAAACGAAGCCTATTTTGGTTTCCCTAGAAGGTATTTCTAATTTTGTATTAATTTAATACATGTTGATGTTTGTTTTTGCGCAGATTCCTCTTGCCTAGAGGCAGCTATGGTGGTACCGAGTACCAGTTCTACGTGATCGTGAATCCCTATGTTCCGTATCAACAAGGACAGCAGCAGCAACATAGTCAAGGACAGAAGTTCTACTACCCAAGAGCTGGGTCTGGTGGCCTGTATGTTGATGGTTACCCATTGGGTTATCCGTTTGATCGTCCCATTAGGTTTGATCAAGTTTACTACAACATCCCCAATTCCTACGTCTACAGTGCTAGGATTTATCATAGAGATGTTAGCGATATCAACTCTTCGAATGCTTCAAACCAGTAATTGATAAGTTTGGTCAATATGCAATACTAGTACTCGTATATGTCAAAGCATGAAGTGATTTTGTATTTTAAGGTTAAATAAAGTTGCAACAATATTTTAGTTTTTTTTTGTGGATAGTCAAACAAAAAAAAATCCCCCAAAACTAGTGGTGTAAATAATAAGAAGAAGAAATACTGCTTTTTGAAAAATCGAAATTCGAAAAGTCAAAAAATCAAAACATCAAAAAATCGAAAAATTAAAGATTCAGGAATTGAAAATTTTCCGAAATTGAAATGTTGAAAAATTGAAAAATCCAAAGACCGAGACGACAAGAAATCGAAATTTCAAAAAATCATAAAATCGAAGAATATAAATTTAAATAATCAAAAAATTGCAAAATCAAAAAACTTAAGAAATCAAAAGTTTTAAAAATCAAAAAATTGAAACATCGGGAAATTTAAGAACCGAAAAAATAGAAAATCGAGAATTTGAAAAAAATCTACACTGAAACAACAAAAAATTGGGAAATCGAACAATTGAAGAATCGAAATAAAGAAAAATTGGAAAATCGAAAAATCGAAAAACTTAGAAATCGAAAAAACCAAATATCGAAAAATGCAAAAATCGAAACATACAGAAATCGAAACTTCAAAAGATCGAGAAATGGAGAATGTAACGTCAAAAAGTCGAAAAATAGAATATTTGGGAAATCGAAATAGGTCAAAATCGGAAAATCACAAAGTTAAAAATCGAAAATTTGAGAAATTGAAAAAGCGAGAATCTGAAACATCAAAATATCGAAAAATGAAAAATTAAAAAATCTAATATTTAAAAATCGAAATATTAGAAAAATAAAAAAAATATTTAAACAACCCAGTAAATGGAAAAATCGGCAAATTGAATCGAAAAAGTGAAAAATCGGGAAATTGGAAAATTTTAAAACTGAAATAACGAAAACTTGGGAATTTGAACAATTGAAAAATCAAAACATCGAAAAATTGAAAAATCCAAAAAGTGGAAAAATGGAAAAACTGGAGAATTAAAAAGTGAAAAATTGAAAGATTTTACATAGAAAAATCGATATATCAAAAAAAAAAGAAAAATTGAGAAATTCAAAAATCGAAAAATTAAAAAATAGGGAATTTGCAAAATCGAAAAATGGAAAAATTGGAAAATTGAAGCGAAACACTGAAAAATCTGGAAAATTCGAAAACATGGCCAAAAGTTGGGAAATCGGAAACTTGAAAACTCGACACATCGAAAAATTGAAAAAGAAAAATATGGAAGAGTTCAAAAATAGAAAAGACGAAATATTGAAAAATCAAAAAATGCAAGAGAAATTGAAGAATCGAAAATTTAAAAAAATCAAAATCAAAACATCAAGAAATTGGAAAATCGAAAAATCGGAAGGTCGAAAAATTAAAAAACCTGGAAATCAAAAAATCGAAACATCGAATAATTCAAAAACTGAAAGATTGAGAAATCGAAACGTCAAAAGATCGAGAAATGGAGAAATCGAAAGTCAAAAAGCCGAAAAATCGAAAATTTGGGCACTCGAAATGGGGCAAAATCGAAAAATCGCAAAGTTAAAAATTGAGGATTTGAAAAATTTTATATCAAAAAAATTGAGAAATCAAAAAAATCGAAAAATGTACAATTAAAAAAAAATTGAAAATCAAAAAACTGCAAAATCAAAAATGTAAAAATTCTAAAAATTAAAAAATTGAAATATCGAAAATCTGAATAATCTAAAAATCGACAAATCGAGAAATCGAAAAACTGAAAATTTAAAAAATTGAGAAATCGAGAAACCGAAACAACAAAATATCGGAAATTTGAAAAATCTAAAATTTAAAAATTGAAATATTAGAAAAAGGAAAAGTCGAAAAACAGAAAAATACAGGAATTGAGATAGCTAAAATCAAAAATTTAAAAAACTGAGAAATGGAAAAATTGGCAAATTGAACCAAAAAATCGGAAAATCTAGAAATTGGAAAATTTCAAAACTGAAATGACGAAAACTTGGGAAATCGAACAATTGAAAAATCGAAACATCGAAAAATCGAAACATCGAAAAATTTGGAAAATCGAAAAATTGAAAATCCAAAAAGTGAAAAAATCGAAAAACCGCGAAATCGAAAAATGGAACAATTGAAACATCTAGAAATTAAAACATCTAGAAATCGAAACATTAAAATTCGAGAAATTGGAAAGTCGATAAGTCGAAAAATCGAAAAATTGATGAATTGAAAATCTAAAAACTAAAAAATCGATATCCCCAAAAAATTGCATTAAAAATTAGAAATCGAAAAATTTGAAAAATCGGAAAATTATAAAAATATCGAAGAGTTTAAAAATAAAAAAGTCAAAAATCAAGTTATGTATTGAAAAATCCCATAGCTGTAACATCGAAAAATTTAAAAATGTAAGAGGAACAGCAGAATCGAAAATTTAAAAAAATTGAAAAAAAAGAAATAAAGAAAAGTTGAAAAATCGAAAAATCGAGAAGTCGAAATGTCAAAAAACCTAGAAATCGAAAAATCGGTACATCGAATAATTCAAAAGTTGAAAGATCGAGAAATGAAAGTCAAAAAGTTGAAAAATCGAAAATTTGGGAAATCGAAAAATCGCAAATTTAAAAATTGAGAATTTGAAAAATTTTATATTAAAAAAATTGATAAATCAAAAAATCGAAATATCTAAAAAGGTAAAATTGAAAAATAATGAGAAAATTAAAAAATTGCAAAATCAAAAATTTAAAAATTCCGAAAATTAAAAAATTGAAATATCGAAGATCTGAAAAATCGAAAAATCGACAAATCTACAAATTGAGAAATCGAAAAATAGAAAATTTAAAAAAAATGAAAAATCGAGAAACCGAAATATCAAAATATCGAAAAATTGAACATTCAAAAACCTAAAATTCAAAAATCGAAAAATTAGAAAACCGAAAAGTCGAAAAACAGAAAAATACAGGATTTGAAACAGCGAAAATCCAAAATTTAAAAAATTGAGAAAAGGAAAAATCGTAACAGCGAAAAATTGGAAAATCGAAAAATTGAAAAGTCAAAAAGTGGAAAAATCGGAAAATCACGAAATCGAAAAACGGAACATCGAAAAATTCAACAATTTAAACATCTAGAAATTGAAACATCTAGAAATCGAAACATTATTCGAGAAATCGGAAAGTCGATAAATCGATAAAATGGAAAAATTGATGAATCGAAATACGCCAAAACCAAAAAATAGAAAATCAAAAACTAAAAAATTGAAAAATTGTACATAAAAAAATCGTATCTGAAAAAAAACAAAAATTGATAAATTCAAAACTGGAAAAATTAAAAAACCAGGGAATTGGAGAAGCGAAAATCCTAAATTTAAAATATTGAAAAACTGGAAAATTGAACCGAAAAATGAAAAATCGAGAATCTGGAAAACTCCAAAACTCAAGTAGCAAAAAATTGAATAATTCAAACTTGAAAATTCTATACATCGAAAAAAAAGTGGAAAAACCGAAAAAACGAGAAATAAAAAAAAATAGAACAATCAAAAATTAAAAGTCGAAAAATTTAAAAAATCGAAAAATTGAGAAATGTAAGAAAAATGGAAGAATCGATAATTTGAAAAAAATCAAAATTAAAACATCGAAAATTGAAAAATCGAAACAAAGAAAAATTGGAAAATCGAAAAATCGGAAAGCCGAAAAGTTGAAAAATCAAAACAGCAAAAGATCGAGAAACGGAGGAATCGAAAGTCGAAAAGTTGAAAAATCGAAGATTTGAGAAATCGAAATAGGCCAAAATAGAAAAATCTCAAAGTAAAAATTGAACAATTGAAAAGTTTTATACTTAAAAATTCGAAAAATTGCAAAAACAAAAATTTTAAATTTCGAAAAATTAAAAAATCAAAAATATATAAGAACTGAAAAATGGAAAAATCGAGGAAGCTAGAAATCGAAAAATCGAAAATTTAAAAACATCAAAAGATGCAAAAAATTCAAAATTCAAAATTCTGAACTTTAAAAATAGAAAAACTAGGAAACAGAAAAGTCGAAAAACCGAAAAATCGAGAAATTGAGACACCGAAAATCAAAAATTTAAAAAACGAAAAATGGAAAAATCGAAAAATTGAATCGAAAAACTGAAAAATCGAGGAACTGGAAAATCGAGGGATGGAAAATTCCAAAACTGAAATAAAAAATTGGGAAATCGAAAAATTGAAAATTCCAAAAATTGGAAAATCGAAATATTGAAAAGCCAAAAAGTAGAAAAATCGAAAAACCAAAAAATCGAGAAATCGAAAAGCGAAAAATCCAAAAACTGAAACATCTAGAAATCGAAGCATCAAAAAACGGAGAAATCGGGAAATTCGAAAAATCGAAAATTTTAAAAAACGAAAAATCGAAAAATCTAAATTTTGAAGAAATGAAAACTGAAAAATCGATACATTGAAAAATCGAGAAATCGAGAATTGGGAAAAACAAAAAATCGATGAGTGGAGAAATTGAGAAATCGAAAAATTGAAAATTTAGGAACATCAGTAATTGGAAAATTGAGAAATCGAAAAATGAAAAAGTGTAGAAATCGAAAATTTGAAGAATCAGGAAATTGAAGAATTCGAGCACTGAAATATGGAAAATTGAATAATAGAATATCGAGACATTGAAAAAACTAAAGTCTCAAAATTAAAATATCGAAAAAATGAGAAATCGAAAGTTGACACATCCAGAAATCAGAAAGCCGAAAAATTGAAAAATCGAGAAATTATTACATTTACAATTTTGATTTTTTTTTCAAAAATCCTCTATGTTTAGAATAAAAATTCAACACGGATTTATAAACCACAATTTCAGGACTATATTACTTTGCTTTTTAACATTTAAAAAAGGGGGGCTATATTTGCAATATTTCAAAGCATTTGATTTTGCAAATTTAAAGTTAAATTGTAAAATGTTATTATACGATTATGACAGACAACCAGAAACGGAAGACCTATTTTTTCGTACTCGAGGAGTCATGAAACGTCGTGGAAAATGAAAATAACCAGTCAAGCTGGATTCGATTACAATAATTCCCTAGCTTACGCGTGAAGTAAAAATGTAATAAAATAAATCTGAAGGATCACAAACAAGATATGTGCAATATGAAGCACGTGAACGCATGATATAATATAAAAATGTTCAGAATCATTGTTTGTGTTAAAAAGGGGGTCATTGGTGTTATATTCTGTATCCGCAGAATGTGGAACGAATTCGATTAAAAAATAGGACGTTTTTAGAGGACACAATTTTTTAATACCAAACTTTTTTTGATCTTCAAGCCAATTTCTTACGCAACCTAAGCGAGCAACTTACCTGATTTGGGGAAACGTTTGACTACTTTAGAGGTTTAAATTTATTGTTAAAAAAAAAACCTGGAAATAGCAGGCAGAATAAGAGAGTTCGATTGATTTATAAATATTTTATACATTCAAATAATTTAAGCACAATTAAAATTAACACGTAAAAATGCTTGATCATTATGTAGTAGTTTATAAAATATTTTGCTGTTATCTAAATGAAAATACACACGATGATACAGTTTTAAAAATACACCTTCGTAATTATCGTGGGTGATGATAATGGCGTGATCTTTGCACTTTTACTTTTATTTTTACTTACTTAAGTCGATTTTAATTAATTTTAGTTTTAAAAATGCAAATTTTTAAGTCAAAAATGTCGATCACCTAGATAATTTTTGTCGACTCATCGCCAAATTTTACGAGTACATTTATTAATACCTTATCAAGCCCAAAATAAAATCGTGCATACTTATGCAACATCAACCAGTGATATAATTTTGAAAACAAATGTGACAACAATTATTTATCAGTAATTAACTTCTCGTGTAATGCTATCTAATTTCGTACACACGAGTTATTTTTTTAAATTTATCTTCGTAATATGCATGTCAAAACAAATTGTTCTAAAAGTCATCTAAAACACTAATATTACGATCACCTAGGTATTTGGATGCCAAATCACAAGTTTTGATAAACCAAATAAAATAAAATAAAAATGACTTAATTCCCCTTATCGCCCCAATTATTTGTCCATCAAGCACAAATTTAACAAAACCTACAAACAAAAAATAACTCCACATCAACTAAAGTCAAGGGTCACAAGTTCACAGCGATATGGTGTGGAGGGAGATTGTTTAATTTTATATAAAAAGGTAAGAATAGTGGACATAGTCAGACACAGTTGTTTGACTATTCAAACAATCATGAGGTTCACTGTAGTAGCTCTACTCGGCCTCTGTGCCCTGGCCCTGGCTTACCCCCCACAACACAAAATCAGTAAGTACCACATTTTTCTAATTTTTCGGTACTAACTTTGCCGTTTAGCCGACAAGGGAGTACAAGAGAAGCAAAAGGACATCCTTCGTTTGTACAAGTACGTGAACCAACCGAGCTACTACAAGGACCACGTGGAGATCTCCAAGACCTACAAGATCCACGAACACTTCGACGACTACTCTGTAAGTGTTTTTTTGATTTATTTTTTTTGTAAATCAAGGTTTGTAATTTGTGTAGAAACCCGAAGTTGCCAAGTACTACTACAAGATCTACAAGTACGGTTTGCTTCCAAGGGGCGAGATCTTCTCCGTCTTTTATGAAGAACACTTGAAGCAAGCTATTGCTTTGTACAAGTTGTTCTACTACGCTAGAGACTACTCGACTTTCTACAACACGGCTGTTTGGGCCCGTCAACGTGTCAACGAAGGTGTGTACTTGTACGCCCTTTCTGTTGCCATTGTCCACCGCCCTGACACCTACGAAGTGGTTATTCCCCCAATTTACGAAGTCTACCCGTACTACTTCTACAACAGCGAAGTTATCCAGGAAGCTTACAAGTACAAACAGCAGTACTACGGACAGCAGTACGAACATGAAGGCAACTACAATGGTTACACCATCAATGCTAACTATTCTGGGTACTACTTGAACGTGCACCCTGAACAATCTCTGTCGTACTTCACCGAAGATGTTGGTATCAATTCGTTCTACTATTACTTCAACATCTACTACCCTCATTGGTTGGGTGGTCAAGAATTCGACTACAAGAACGACCGTCGTGGTGAATACTACTTGTTCGTGTACCAACAAATCTTGGCCCGCTTCTACTTGGAACGTCTTTCTAATGGCTTCGGAGAAATTCCGTTCTACAACTGGGAAGTACCTTTCGAAACTGGGTACCACCCGTCGTTGCAGTACCCCAACGGTTTGCAATTCCCAACGAGACCCAACTATGCCCATTTGTACGAATACTTCTACAATTATGGACAGAGGTACGGAAACAACAAGTACGCTTACAGCTACACCCACGTCCAAGATTACGAAAGAAGAATTCGTGATGCCATCGACAGAGGATATGTCTACACTGTAAGTACGCAGAAATATTACTTGTCAAATTTAAAAAATCAATCTTTAGCATGAGGGACAAAAGGTCAATTTGTACTCCGAAGAGGGTGTCAACACTCTTGGAAACTTGGTCCAGTCCAACCCTGATTCTCCTGATAGGTACTACTACGGAGCTCTGCACGTCTACGCCCGTCATCTCCTAGGGTACTCCTACCAACCCGTAGACAAGTACCACGTCGCTCCTTCCGCTCTCGAACACTACGAAACTTCCCTTCGTGACCCAGCCTTCTACCAGTTCTACAAGAGGATCGCCTTGTACTACCAGAAGTACCAATCTCGTTTCCCTGCTTACACCGAACAGGACTTGGCCTACGAAGGTGTTGAAGTAAAGAATGTCGAATTCGACCGTCTTATCACCTACTTCGACTATTTCTACTCCGACGTGAGCAATGCCATCTATGTTACTCCACAAGAGTACGAAAACGACAAAGTCCAAGTCAGAGTACGCCAACAGCGTTTGAACCACAAGGCTTTCACCTACAAGGTCTACGTAAACTCCGAGAAGGAGCAAGACGCTGTTGTCAGAGTATACATCGGGCCTAAATACGATGAATACGGACGCTACATTAACATCAGCCAGAACCGCGCCAACTTCGTCGTTTTTGATCACTTCAAGTACCAGTTGAAGTCTGGTGAAAATGTCATCGAACGCAACTCTCACCAAACTCCGTACTACCAAAACGACCGCACTAGCTTCAAGCAGTTGTACCAACAGGTTCTTGGTGCTTTCAGTGGAAATGGCGAGTACCAAGTTTACAACAACGAGGCTTACTACGGCTTCCCCAGAAGGTACTAATTTGGATTGTTTTCACGAATAATGGTTTAATTTTGTTTTGTGTGCAGGTTCCTTTTGCCTAAGGGTACTTATGGTGGTTTTGAATACCAGTTCTACGTGATTGTGAGCCAATACGTTCCCAACAAGTACCACCAGGAGTACACCAACGAGTACTACTATCCCAAGATTGGTACTGGAGACAAGTACATTGATGGTTACCCATTGGGCTATCCATTCGAGCGTCCCATCTACTACGATCAAGTGTTCTACAACATCCCCAACTCGTACTTCTACACCACTAAGATCTACCACAGGAATGAAAACGAAATCAATGCTTCTACTTCTACCCAACACTAAAACGAAGGTTATGCGATACCGACGTCTTTCATTCTGATGAAATATTCACTGTTTCATGTCAACTGGTGTATTATTTTTGCAATAAACAGCAATAGTACTTGACTTTTTTGTTTTTTTTTAATTTGTTATATATGTCATCAAATCAAATTTTGATGGTGGGGTGTTTGTCTATGTAGCTTTGCACAACAGTCTAAATACAAGAAATGTTGATTACTTGAAGAGCATCTAGTATACTTTAAAGGGTCTTCAGTTCCTGAAAATGTATAGTACAAGAAATATATTGTCAATGACAATGGAGACATTTAAATTTTATATTTCTGTTTTGACTTTTTAAATTATGTATGCACTTGATCATCAACAAATTTTCATTGCAAAATTATTTGTTAAAGATACAGTGGCAGCTGTTGTTTGTTTTTGACTTAATTTAAGCAATGACCTTTTGAATACAATACGATTAACTGTTAAAATAGCTTTTATTAAGTCATCAGGAAGTTCTATCGAAATAACCTTCGAACAATTTTTAAATTTTTTGTAAATAAAGTAAAGAAATTATGGCGTAAAAAGCTGTAACTGCCGAAAGCAAAAAGTGTTCCATCTGGAAGAGGAAAAATTTTAAAAATCAAAATTTATAAAATGTCAAAATTTCAAAAATTTACACAATTTTAAGATTTGAAAGATTTGATAGGTTTCAAAGTTTCAAAGATTCTAAACACTAAAAATTGCAAATTGTAGATACACCGAAGATTCTAGATAGAAGAAAAATTCAACAAAATCTAAAAAATTGTAAAGATCTTCGAGGTACTAATCATCCTAGAACTTCTAAAAATTTTAAACTTTGTAAAATTTCTAGTAATTCTGAAGTGTCCAAAGTTTCTAAAGATGGGAAAGACTCTAAGGACTCTGAGAACTCTAGGGATTCTACAGAGTCTAAAAACTCTAAAGATATTCTTAAAGACTCAAACGTTAAAAAATACTTAAAATTCTGCTCCAAAAATTTCCGAGATTCTGGAACTTATAAAAATAGCATGAACTCTTAAAATTACAAAGATTTTAAAAATTCCAAAAATTTTAAAAATTCCAAAGATTTTAAAAATTCCAAAGACTACAGAAAACTAAAATTGAAAACACTACAAGTGTTTAACACCCTAATTGTTATCTTACAAATCTTAGAGATTGTAAAAATTTAAAAAATTAAGTGTCTTGAAGTCTATAAATTTTGGAAAATCTGGAAAATTTTTGAATATGAGAAAATGTGGTAAACCTAAAAATGTTGAATTTCAAAATTCTGGCATAACGGGAGCTTGATAATTTTAGAAATTTTGGAAAATCTGGAAATTCCGGGCATTCTGTGTGTGAAAAATCGGGCTAATTGAAAAATTTTGAAAGTTCTAGAAATTTTGCAGACAAGTTCTGACCTCCAGATTTCAGAAGACTACTCAATCTTAATATTATAGACATGCTAAAGATTCCAGGCTTTCCAAAGTTTTGAAAGATTTAGACGATTTTAAATCTTTAAAAATTCTACAGATTAGAGACATTTTTTAGGTCTTTTAGATGTTAAAGATTCTAGTCACTAGAAATTGTAAATTTTAAATACACACAACAAAATCTTAAAAACACTTATTGCTATAAATTGATTTTTATATTCTTTTTCGAATTTAAGAGTTTTTTTTGTTTTATGAGGTTGTGAACATAACTTTGGTGGAAAAATGGGTTGAAAGTTATTTCGAAGGAATAGTCGAAGTGCAGTCGAACACAGAAAAATTGGAACACCCGAACATTGATTAATCGAGAAATGAAAAAATTTTAAAACTAGAAAAATTAAAAAATTGGAAAATCTAGAAATTAAAAAATTCCTAAAATTGTAATGCCAAACAATTGTAAAACCGAAAAATTGTAAAATCCAAAAATGTAAAAAAATTGAAAAACCGAGAAATCGAAATGGCATAAAATTGAAAAAATTTAAAACCTAAAAAATATAGAAATATCAAGGAACTGAAAAAACGAAAAGATAAAAAATCGGTAAATCCAAAACTCGAAAGATTTAACAGTCGAAAAGTCAAAAATTCGAAAAATCAAAAAATCTGAAACCCAAAAAGTCCAAAAATCGAGAAATCAAAGAATAAAGATAAAACAAATTGAAAAATTGATAAAACGAAAAACCGAAACAAAAAAAAGTTGGAAAATTGAAAAATATAAAAAATTGGGAATTCGGAAAATTGGATCGAAAAATGGAAAAAATATTGAAAAATCTCAAAATTGCAATATTAAAAAATTGCTAAATCAATAAATGGAAAAATCGAGAAGCCGAAAAATCGAAGGAACATTGAAGAATAAAAATTAAAAGATTGAGAAATCGAAAAATTGAGAAACCAAAAATCTGGAAAATTCGAAAACTGAGAAATGAAAAAATCGAGAAATCGAAAAATCGATTAATCCAAAAATCGAAAATATAGAAACGCCAAAAATTGAAAAACCGAACAATCGAAAAATTTGTATCTTACAAATCTTAGAGATTGTAAAGATTTCAAAAATTAAGTAAGTCTTGAAGTCTATAAATTTTGGAAAATCTGGAAAATTTTTGAAAATGCGAAAATCTGTTAAACCTAGAAATATTGAATTTCAAAATTCTGGCATACCGGGAGCCTGATCATTTTAGAAATTTTGGAAAATCTGGAAATTCCGGGCATTCTGTGTATGAAAATTCGGGCCAATTTGGAAATTTTGTAAGTTCTAGAAATTTTGCCAAAAAGTTATGACCTCCAGATTTCAGAAGACTACTCAAACTTAATATTATAGACATGCTAAAGATTTCAGGGTTTCCAAAGTTTTGAAAGATTTAGAAGATTTTAAAGCTTTAAAAAATTCTACAGACTAGAGAAATTCTTTTAGGTCTTTTAGTCACTAGAAATTGTAAATTGTAAATACACTGAAGATTGTAAACAGAAGGAAGATCCAACAAAATCTCAAAAACACTTATTGCTATAAATTGGTTTTTATATTCTTTTTCGAATTTAAGAGTTTTGAGAACTTTTTCATAGTGTAGCTCCATTTTACTGGAATTTTGAAATAAGAAACTAAAAAAATGAGTGGAAGCTTAAGCTTTATTCGATAAACAAATACAATTGTTAACGCAGCCCCTCTTCTTCGGGCCAATGAAACGATTTATGAAGGTCTGGAGCTTTTGCGAGTGGGAGGAGCATCAACAATATTGCTTTTTTAATACAAATATTACGTCTGGTACGATTATTTAACCCCAGATTAATAATTTCTAGATAGTATTTTTACAAATTATCTATTTTTTCATCAACAATAAACTTGTCATTAATTAACAGTTTTAAGAGTATTCACTAGAATAAAGAGAGGGGTGGGTGGGCGGGGCTATTGCTTTCATATAACACTCTGAAAACTTATCTCCGCCCACTTCCTTTCTCCGTTTCTCTGACTTATTTTAATTTTTAGACAAGAGAAAAGTTCGAATTTGACAAGCGCTAGAATCTAAAATTTGAAACAAAATAAATTAACCTCCACCCACCCACCCCTACTCCATTTTGATAATTCATTTCATTGGTTCTGTGACGAAAGTTACATTTTATATTGACCAATAGTAGAATCTAGAACTACATTTTTTAAGTGGAATTTTGATTTTTTTTCGAAAAACGACTTTGCCGTCAGCGTATACCTAGACATATTTAAATATCATAATAAAGTAAACTCTATTAGGTAGGATTGTGAACGCCGCGTCTCTTCTCCTTGTCAATGAAATAATTTTTTTAGGTGGAGCTTGTGCTAGTGGAAGCAGCGTCAGTAATATTGATTTTAAACCTGATTCTTAAGTATGGTGTGCCTATTTAACACCAACTTAATACTTTCTAGATATTCTATTTTAGAATTTATCTATCTTCTCATCAGAAATAGAGAAATCGAAAGTCAAAAAGTCGAAAAATCGTAAATTTGGGCAATCGAAATGGGCCAAAATCGAAAAATCGCAAAGTTTTAAAATTGAGAATTTGAAAATTTTATATCAAAAAAATTGCTAAATAACAAAACAGAAAAATCGAAAAATGTAAAATTAAAAAAAAAATTGAAAATAAAAAAATTGCAAAATCAAAAATTTTAAAATTCTAAAAATTAAAAAATAGAAATATCAAAGATCTGAAAAATCTAAAAATCGACAAATCGAGAACTCGAAAAATGAAAAATTTAAAAAATTGAAAAATCGAGAAACCGAAACATCAAAATACCGGAAAATTGAAAAATCTAAAATTTAAAAATTGAAAAATTTGAAAAAGGAAAAGGCGAAAAACAGAAAAATACAGGAATTGAGATAGCGAAAATCCAAAATTTTAAAAACTGGGAAATGGAAAAATCGGCAAATTGAATCGAAAAATTGAAAAATCGAGAAATCGGAAAATTTCAAAACTGAAATGAGAAAAACTTGGGAAATCGAACAATTGAAAAATCGAAACATCGAAAAATTTAGAAAATTGAAAAATTGAAAAGCCAAAAAGTGGAAAAATTGAGAAACCCAGAAATCCAAAAACCGCGAAAACGAAAAACGGAACATCGAAAAATTTAACAATTGAAACATCTAGAAATTAAAACATCTAGTAATCGAAACATTAAAATTCGTGAAATCGGAAAGTCGATGTGACGAAAAATCGAAAAATTGTTTAATCGAGAATTAAAAAATTAAAAAATTGAAAAATTGAACATAAAAAATCGATATCTCAAAAAAAGAGAAAAATTGAGAAATTCAAAAATCGAAAAATTTCAAAATCAGCTGATTGGAAAATCGAAAATCCTAAATTTAAAATATTGAAAAACCGAAAAATTGAATCGAAAAATGAAAAATCGAGAATCTGGTAAATTCCAAAACTGAAGTAGCGAAAAATTGGAAAATCGAAAACTTGAAAATTCAATACATCGAAAAACTGAAAAGTAGAAAAATCGAAAAACGGAGGAATCAAAAAATTGAAGCGTCAAAAATTAAGTCTAAACATTTAAAAAATCGAAAAACTGAAAAATAAAAATATCTAATAGATCAGCATTAAAAAAATCGAAAAATCAAAATATTGAAAAATCCCTTAATATCGAAAAATTGAAAAATGTAAAAAAATTGAAGAATCGAAAATTTGAAAAAAATTAAAACTAAAACATCGAAAATTGAAAAATCTAAACAAAGAAAAATTCAAAAACTGAAACATCAAAAGATCGAGAAACAGAGAAATCGAAAGTCCAAACGTCGAAAAATCGAAGATTTGGGTTAAAAATTGAAAAATTGAATATTTTATACCTATTTAAAATTTCGAAAAATAAAAAAATAAATATAAGAACTGAAAAATGGAAAAATTGACGAATTCAGAAATCGAAAAATCGAAAATTTAAAAAATTAAAAAAAAACGAAACATCAAAATATCCAAAAAATTTCAATGAAGAAATATTCGGAAATCGAGCGATTGAAAAATTGTAGATCAAAAAATTGGAAAATCAAAAAATCGAAAATCCAAAATGTAGAAAAACCGAGAAATCGAAATTCGGAAAATCGGAAAGTCAAATAGTCGAAAAATCGAAAAATTAATAAATCGAAATAGTCCAATATCTAAGAATCGAAAAATCCGAGAAATTCGAAAAATATAAATTTTGAAAAACTGAAAAATCGATACATTGTCATGTCGAGAAATCGAGAAATGGGAAAATGAAAAATCACTTAATAGAGAAATTGAGAAATCGAAAAATTGAAAATTTAGGAACATCAGTATTTGGAAAATTGAAAAATCAAAAACTGGAACATCGAAAAATTGAGAAATAGGTAAATGAAAAAGTGTATAAATCGAAAATTTGAAGAATGGGGAAATTGAAAAATCCGGACGCTGAAATATGGTAAATTGAATAATAGAAACGTTGAAAAATTGAAAAAACTGAAGTCCCAAAATTAAAATATCGAAAAAATGAGAAATCGAAAGTTGAAAAATCCATTTTGAAAACTCACTTCATTGGTTCTGTGACGAAAGTTGCATTTTATATTGACCAATAGTAGAATCTAGAACTACATTTTTTTAAGTGGAATTTTGATTTTTGTTCGAAAAACGACTTTGCCGTCAGCGTATACCTAGAAATATTTAAAAATCATAATAAAGTAAACTCTACTAGTTAGGTCTCCTCTTCTCCTAGTCAACGAAATAATTTTTTTAGGTGGAGCTTGTGCTAGTGGGAGGAGCGTCAGTAATATTGATTTTAAATCTGATGGTATGCCTATTTAACACCAGCTGAATAGTTTGTAGCCATTTTATTTTAGAATTTATCTATTTTCTCATCATACTTTAACAGATTTGAGTAAGATTATAATAAAATAATAATCTTGTCATTAATTAACAATATTAAGAGTATTTATTAGAATAAAGAGAGGGGTGGGTGGGCGGGGCTAATGCTTTCACATAACACTCTGAAAACTTATCTTCGCCCACCTCCTTTCTCCGTTTCTCTGACATATTTAAATTACCTTACAATAGGAAATGAGTTCGAATTTGACAAGCGGTAGAATCTAAAATTTAAAACAAAAGAAATAAACCCCACCCACCCACCCCTACGCCATTTTGATAACTCATTTCATTGGCTCTGTGTCGGAAGTTGCATTTTATATTGACAAATAATAGAATTTACAACTTATTTTTTTTTTATAAAATTTTAATTTTAATACGAAAACGACATTGCTGTCAGTGTTTACGTAGAATATTTGAAAATCACATAAAGTGGACACAATGAGGTACAACTGTAAACGCCACCGCTCTTCTCCGGGCCAATGAAACGATTTATTAAGGCGGAGCTTTCGCGAGAGGGAGGAGCATCAATAATATAGTTTTTGATATATCATTCTTACGTCTGGTACGCTTATTTAACACCCGCTTAATACTTTCTAGGTACTTGATTTACAATTTATCTATTTTCTCATCAACAGTTTAACAGATTTGAGTAAGATTATAATAACAATAATCTTGACATTAATTAACAATATTAAGATTATTCACTAGAATAGAGAGAGGGGTGGGTGGGCGTGGCTACTGCTTGCATACAACACTGGTAATCTTATCTCCACCCACCCCCTTGCTCCGTTTCTCTGAATTCTCTGACTGATTTTAATTACTATAAAATAAGAATTGAATTGTGTCTGACAAGCAATGGGATCTAAAATTCAAATCAAAGTCAAAAGTCAAAAAAATAACTAAAATGTAAGCTACGTGTTTAGTATGTACACAATAAAATTTCCAATTCGTCTAATTATTATGCATGCATCGGTTACTTCCCCATTGTTACAAGTCACAGTGTCATGTGACCTACTTATCATTATAAATGTGACGATAAATATTATCACCGCATTGTAATCTTTCTCCGAAATGAATCTGATAGTAGCTGTTTTTGGTCTTTTCGCCTTAGTTGCGGCGTACCCTTCAGTAAAACACCACACAATAAGTAAGTATTCGCTTTTTCTAAACATAAATAATTTGTGATTTAGCTGATAAAAGCGCTCTCGAAAGACAAAGAGGTATTCTCGAATTGTTCAAACATATCAACCAGCCAAGCAGCCGCAAGGAACATATTCAAATCTCCAAGAGCTACAAAATCGAGGAACATTACAACGACTATTCCGTAAGATAATACTAAACATACGTTAATCAAACTTTGATAAATACTACTTATGCAGAAACCCGAAGTGGCAAAGTACTTTTACAAGATCTATCAATATGGTTTGCTCCCCAAAGGCGAAATTTTTTCAGTCTTCTACCAGAAACATTTGGAAGAAGCTATTGCTCTCTTTAAACTTTTATACTACGCTGGAGATTATCATACTTTTTATAAGACGGCAGTTTGGGCACGCCAGCATGTCAATGAGGGTGTTTTTTTGTACGCACTCTCTGTCGCTATCTTTCATCGCTCGGACACTTATGGAATTATCATCCCTCCGATCCACGAGATCAATCCTTTCTACTTTTTCAGTAGCGACGTGATTCAGCAAGCTTTTAAGTACAAACAACTTAAAGAAGACGATCGTGGTTACACGATTTTTTCAAACTCTTCCGGGTACTTGGACTCGCACCAGGAACACTCTTTGTCGTACTTCACCGAAGACATCGGTCTTAGCTCTTTCTACTACTATTACAATCTTTACTACCCTCACTGGCTAAGCAGTGACGATTACGATTACAGACGTGATCGTCGTGGTGAAACGTATTTTTTCGTTTATCAACAAATCGTGTCAAAGTACTACCTGGAACGTCTATGTAACGGCTTCGGTGAAGTTCCACACTTGGACTGGAAAGTACCTTTAGAAACTGGTTATCACCCAAGTTTGCAGTATCCTAACGGTGTACACTTTCCAGTAAGACCTATCTTCTACAATTATGGACCTAAATACGTCGACTACACTTTGGTCCAGGACTATGAAAGAAGAATCCGTGACGCCATCGACAAAGGATACGTCTACACAGTAACTATTTAGTTGTCAAACACACTAACAAAAATCACACAATTCTGTTGTAGCAAGGCGGCCAAAAACTTAATTTGTATTCCAAAGATGGTGTGACCATCCTTGGAAATTTAGTCCAATCCAACCCGGATTCTCCCAATCGTCACTACTACGGTCCTGTCCACGAACACGCGCGCCACCTTCTAGGCTCTTCCTACCAAATCATAAACAAAAAACCTATTCCGTCTGTTTTAGAACACCTCGAAACTTCTCTTCGCGATCCCGCGTTTTATCAATTTTTCAAGAAGATCGTCTCCTTCTATCACAAGTACAAGTCACAGCTTCCACCCTACACAGAAAAACATTTGCTTTTCGAGGGTGTGGAAGTTAAAAAGGTTGAGTTCGACCCTCTTGTCACCTATTTTGATTACTTTTACGCCGACGTGACCAATGCCGTCTACGTGACGGTTCGAGAATACCAGGAAGACAAAATCCAGATTAAAATTCGCCAAAAGCGTCTAAATCATGACGCTTTCGGCTACAAGGTGTTTGTTAACTCGGACAAGAATCAAACCGCTGTGGTTAAAATGTATATCGGGCCGAAATTCGATGAGTATGGTCGGTTTATTAACATCAGCGAGAATCGTCTCAATTTTGTTATCTTTGACCATTTTAAATATCAGTTGAGGTCTGGTCAAAACGTCATTGAACGGAGTTCGCAACAAACTCCTTTCTACCAAGACGATCGTGTTGGCTATAGGGAGTTGTACCAACAAGTTGTCGACGCTTTGGGTGGTAAAAACGAATTTCAAGTTCGCAATAATGAGGCTTATTATGGCATACCCAGAAGGTGAGACTTCACATTTTTTCGATTTTGTGATTTAAGAGTGATTTTTGTTAGGTTTTTGTTACCCAAAGGTAGAGTCGACGGGTTTGATTGTCAGTTCTACGTGTTTGTTAGTCCCTATGTTCGTCCCAAGTACCACCGAGAGTACTCTGAGGATTACTACTACCCAAAAGTTGGCTCTGGGGCTAAATATATCGACGAATACCCACTGGGTTATCCCTTTGATAGAACCATCAATTACGACCAAGTTTTTCAGAGCATACCCAACTCGTATTTCTACTCTGCCAAGATTTATCACAGAAACGCGTAACATAACGAAATTATGAAAGTCATTGTTTATATAAACACAGTTATTAATTATTCAGAGATCCGATTCGTGTTTTATTTGCTCTCATTTAAACCATCGATAAAAATTTACAGAAAACTAAAATCTTAAAAATGTAAAAATCGTAAAGGAATGCTTTCTTTAATTTTTATAAATTTAACACACTAGAGGTCTTGAACACCCTAATTATTATCTTACAAATCTTAGAGATTGTAAAATTTCAAACATTCCGAAGATTTGGAGTCTTGAAGTCTATAAATTTTGGAAAAACTGGAAATTCCGGGCATTCTGTGTGTGAAAAGTCGGGCTAACTTGGAAATTTTGAAAGTTCCAGAAATTTTTCAAAAAAGTTATGACCTCCAGATTTCAGAAGACTACTCAATCTTAATATTATAGACATGAAAAATTTAGAAGATTTTAAAGCTTTAAAAAATTCTTCAGATTAGAGACATTCTTTTAGGTCTTTTAGACCTTAAACATTCTAGTCACTAGAAATTGTAAATGGTAAATACGCTGAAGATTCTAAACAGAAGGAAGATCCAACAAAATATTAAAAACATTTATTGCTATAAATTGGTTTTTATATTCTTTTTCGAATTTAAGAGTTTTTTTTTTGTTTTATGAGGTTGTGAACATAACTTTGGTGGAAAAATAGGTTGAAAGTTATTTCGAAGGAATAGTCGAAGTGCAGTCGAACACAGATATTGATTAATCGAGAAATGAAAAAATTTTAAAACTAGAAAAATTAAAAAATTTGCAAATCGAAAAATTAAAAATTTTAAAAATTGAAAAATCGAGTAATCAAAATATCGAAGTTAAAAAATCAAAAGATTGAGTAATGAAACATAAAAAAACGAAAAATCTATAATTTAAAACATCGAAAAACTGGAAAATCTAGAAATTAAAAAATTCCTAAAATTGAAATGCCAAACAACTGTAAAACCGAAAAATTGCAAAATCCAAAAATGTAAAAAAATTGAAAAACCGAGAAATCGAAATGGCATAAAATTGAAAAAATTGGAAAAATTAAAACCTAAAAAGATATAGAAATATCAAGGAACTGAAAAATCGAAAAATCTAAAATTAAAAAAATTGAAAAATTAAAATGTCGAAGAAAATAGATAAAAAATCGGTAAATCGAAAACTCGAAAGATTTAACAGTCGAAAAGTCAAAAATTCGAAAAATCAAAAAATCTGAAACCCAAAAAGTCCAAAAATCGAGAAATCAAAGAATAAGAATTAAAAAAAATTAAAAATTGATAAAACGAAAAACCGAAACAAAAAAAGTTGGAAAATTGAAAAATATAAAAAATTGGGAATTCGGAAAATTGGAACGAAAAATCGAAAAAAATATTGAAAAATCTCAAAATTGCAATATTAAAAAATTGCTAAATCAATAAATGGAAAAATCGAGAAGCCGAAAAATCGAAGGAACATTGAAGAATAAAAATTAAAAGATTGAGAAGTCGAAAATTAAAAAAATCGAAAAATTGAGAAACCAAAAATCTGGAAAATTCGAAAACTGAGAAATGAAAAAATCGAGAAATCGAAAAATCGATTAATCCAAAAATCGAAAATTTAGAAACGCCAAAAATGGAAAAATCGAATAATCGAAAAATTTGTATCTTACAAATCTTAGAGATTGTAAAGATTTCAAAAATTAAGTTTTGAAGCCTATAAATTTTAGAAAATCTGGAAAATTTCTGAAAATGAGAAAATGTGTAAAACCTAGAAACGTTGAATATCAAAATTCTGACATAACGGGAGCCTGATAATTTTAGAAATTTTGGAAAATCTGGAAATTCCGGGCATTCTGTATATGAAAAATCGGGCTAATGTGGAAATTTTGAAAGTTCTAGAAATTTTGCAAAAAAGTTATGACCTCCAGATTTCAGAAGACTACTCAATCTTAATATTATAGACATGCTAAAGGTTCCAGGGTTTCCAAAGTTCTGAAAGATTTAGAAGATTTTAAAGCTTTAAAAAATTCTACACACTAGAGACATTCTAAAAGACCTTAAAGATTCTAGTCACTAGAATAAATTAACCCCACCCACCCACCCCTACTCTATTTTGATAACTCATTTCATTGGTTCTGTGACGAAAGTTGCATTTTATATTGATCAATAGTAGAATCTAGAACTACATTTTTTTAAGTGGAATTTTGATTTTTTTTCGAAAAACGTATACAGCGTATACCTAGAAATATTTAAAAATCATAATAAAGTGAACTCTATTAGGTAGGATTGTGAACGCCGCCCCTTTTCTCCTGGTCAATGAAATGATCTTTTTAGGTGGAGGTGGAGCTTGTGCTAGTGGGAGGAGCGTCAGTAATATTGATAATAATAATAATAATAATAGGACTTTATTAAATAATAATAGGCGAAGTCTAGCCATAGGCTATTCCACTTAACCTTAGATTTACAAGAAAATAGAACTAACCAAACAGTTTGTACAGAAAAACGGATTAAATATCTAGACAGGAGTCAGCTAGGTAATGATCAAATTAAACAAATTAAACTAATTAAATCTAAATTAAATAATCCATAATTAGAAACTAAATTTATACAAATAATAATAATAACAAAAAATTAACAACAAGCAACAGAACCACAATAATAAACTTAAACGTAAGTATTAACCAAGCATTTTTTAATTTTTTTCCTAAAACAATTGATGGAAGAACTAGAATTAAACTCTAATAAAAATTTATTGTAAGCTTTGATAATATTGTACGTGAAAGATCTCTGAAAGATAGATGTATAATGCTTTGGCATTGACAGTTCTTTAAGATTCCTTAATGGAAGACTTGCGTTTAACATACTTTTTCTTGTATGAAATTTACAACGCAAGTACGGCGGAGAGTTAGAGGAAAATAACTTGAAAGCAAAGATAGCAAGTATGGTATGCCTGTTTAACACCAGCTTAATACTTTCTAGATATTTTATTTTAGAATTTATCTATCTTCTCATCAGAAATAGAGAAATCGAAAGTCAAAAAGTCGAGAAATCGTAAATTTGGGCAATCGAATTGGGCCAATATCGAAAAATCGCAAAGTTATAAAATTGAGAATTTGAGAAATTTTATATCAAAAAAATTGATAAATAAAAAAATAGAAAAATCGAAAAATGTAAAGTTAAAAAAAATTGAAAATAAAAAAATTGCAAAATCAAAAATTTAAAAATTCTAAAAATTAAAAAATAGAAATATCGAAGATCTGAAAAATCTAAAAATCGACAAATCGAGAAATCGAAAAATGGAAAATTTAAAAAATTGAAAAATCGAGAAACCCAAACAAAAAAATACCGGAAAACTGAAAAATCTAAAATTTAAAAATTGAAAAATTAAAAAAAAGGAAAAGTCGAAAAACGGAAAAATACAGGAATTGAGATAGCGAAAATCCAAAATTAAAAAAACTGGGAAATGGAAAAATCGGCAAATTGAATCGAAAAATTGAAAAATCGAGAAATTGGAAAATTTCAAAATTGAAATGACGAAAACTTGGAAAATCGAACAATTGAAAAATCGAAACATCGAAAAATTTAGAAAATCGAAAAATTGAAAAACCAAAAAGTGGAAAAATTGAGAAACCCAGAAATCGAAAAACCGCGAAATCGAAAAATGGATCATCGAAAGATTCAACAATTGAAACATTTAGAAATTAAAACATCTAGCAATCGAAACATTAAAATTCGTGAAATCGGAGTCGATAAGTCGAAAAATCGAAAAATTGTTTAATCGAAAATTTAAAAACTAAAAAATTGAAAAATTGTACATAAAAAATCGATATCTCAAAAAAAGAAAAAAATTGAGAAATTCAAAAATCGAAAAATTTAAAAATCAGGGAATTGGAAAATCGAAAATCCTAAATTTAAAATATTGAAAAACCGAAAAATTGAATCGAAAAATGAAAAATCGAGAATCTGGTAAATTCCAAAACTGAAGTAGCGAAAAATTGGAAAATCGAAAACTTGAAAATTCAATACATCAAAAAACTGAAAAGTAGAAAAATCGAAAAACTGAGGAATAAAAAAATTGAAGCGTCAAAAATTAAGTAAAAAAATTTAAAAAATCTAAAAACTGAAAAATAAAAATATCTACTAGGTCAGCAATAAAAAAATCGAAAAATCAAAATATTGAAAAATCCCTTAATATCGAAAAATTGAAAAATGTAAAAAAATTGAAGAATCGAAAATTTGAAAAAAATCAAAACTAAAACATCGAAAATTGAAAAATCTAAACAAAGAAAAATTCAACAACTGAAACATCGAGGAATTGAAACATCAAAAGATCGAGAAACAGAGAAATCGAAAGTTAAAAAGTCGAAAAATCGAAGATTTGGGTTAAAAATTGAAAAATTGAATATTTTATACCTATTTAAAATTTCGAAAAATAAAAAAATATATATAAGAACTGAAAAATGGAAAAATTGACGAATTCAGAAATCGAAAAATCGAAAATTTAAAAAATTAAGAAAAAAACGAAACATCAAAATATCCAAAAAATTTTCAAAAAATTGGAAAATCAAGAAATCGAAAATCCAAAATGTAGAAAAACCGAGAAATCGAAAATCGGGAAATCGGAAAGTCAAATAGTCGAAAAATCGAAAAGTTAATAAATCGAAATAGTCCAAAATTTAAAAATCGGAAAGTTAAAAACTAAAAAAATCAAAAATTTTACATAAAAAACTCGATATATCAAAAATTTGAAAAATTTACAAATTCAAAAATCGAAAAATTGAAAAATTAAAATTTCGAAAATTTAGAAATCGAAAAATCTAAATTTTCGATTTATCAAGGTGGAGCTTTTGCGAGTGGGAGGAGCATCAATAATATTGCTTTTGAAATATAACTCTTACGACTGCTACGTTTATTTAACACCAGCTTAATATTTTTGATACTTTATTTAATTTTTCCCCAACGGTTTAACAGATTTGTGGTAAAAAGCTAAACTTAGCTCCGCCCATCTCTTTCTCTATTTCTCTGACTTACTTAATTTACTATAAAATAAGAATTGAATTCTGCGTGAAAAGCGGTAGAAACTAAGATTTAAAACAAAGTCAAAATTGTCCCCACCCACCCACCCACCCCTACTTCGTTTTTATAACTCATTTTATTGGCTCTGAGATAGAAGTTGAATTTTATATAGACAAATAATAGAGTCTAGAACTATATATTTTTAACTGGAATTTTGATTTTTGTTCGAAAAACGACTTTGCCATCAGCGTATAGGTGAAATATGAGCGTCAGTATGGTATGCTTATTTAATACCAGCTTGATACTTTCTGGATAATTTATTTACAAGTTATCTATTTTCCCATCAACAGTTTAACAGATTTAAATAAGATTATAATAAGATATTAATCCTGTCATAATTAACAATATTAAGAGTATTCACTACAATAAAGGGAGGGGTGGGTGGGCGGGCAATTGCTTGCATATAACACTTTGACAATTTATCACCGCCCACCTCCATTCTCGATTTCTCTAACTTATTTTAATATTAACTGAGTTCTGTTTGGCAAGCGGTGGAATCTAAAATTCAAATCAAAGTCAAAAGTCAAAAAAATAACTAAAATTTGAGCTACGTGTTTAGTATGTACACAAAAAATTTCAAATTCGTCTAATTATTATGCATGCATCGGTTACTTCCCCATTGTTACAAGTCAAAGTGTTATGTGACCTATTTATCAATTTTATCATTATAAATGTGACGGTAACAACGAAATTATGAAAGTCATTGTTTATATAAACACAGTTATTAATTATGCAGAGATCCGATTCGTATTTTATTTGCTCTCATTAAACCGTCGATAAAAATTTTCAGTGCATTCTTATTTTTCTCCAGTTATTATTATTACCGAGAAATGTTCTTCGAACACAACATATTTACGGTGTCAACTCCGCAAAATATGATTAAGACCGATAAAAACCCAGTTTTATTTTCCATTGCAGTTCCGAGGAAACTAAAGCGATTATCTAACGAACACATCCACCGGATTTTAATTTGATTTATATTTACTTAATTTAATCAGCTAAGTACGTTGGATAACTCGTCTGTTTACGTTTCCCCCGATCGCTTAAAAATTTCACCTGATTACTCGTTTTATACAATGTTTAAAAGGGTAAAGCGATAACCTTAAACACACCAGATTTATTTTCAGCAGTTACAAAGTACCACTAAAAATAACCTAATCAGACACACCTAAAAAATCGTTTTCGTTCCTGACCGATATTCCGATAATCCGAATTCTAGAACAAACCAAGAATGGTACGACCGTAATCTTAAATAAACAATTCCACAATAAATCATCTTATTTTTATCACCCCGACTAAAATTCGGCCAGTGCGCTATCAATCCAACCGAAACTAATCATCTGAAACAAAAAAATATCAACAAAGGGTCACTCGGGTCGGTTCTAGCGCGGTATAAAAGGTAGTAAGAATTAGTGACTGGTAGCACAATTGTTTGATCGCTCAGACATGAGGTTCACCGTAGTAGCGCTTCTTGCGGGGCTCTGTGCCCTGGCTTTGGCCCACCCCCAACACAAAATCAGTAAGTAGTACCTGTCTAAGTCGACTTGATGATAACTGCTTTGTTCAGCTGACAAGCAGTTCCTGGAGAGACAAAGAGACATTTTCCGACTTTTCAAGTACGTGAACCAACCCAGCTACTACAAGGACCATGTCGAAATCGCGCAGAACTACAACATCCACGAACACTACGACTACTACACTGTGAGTACCGTTTTTCGTACCTATTTTTATTAGTTTAATTTTGGTGTGTATTTAGAAACCCGAGGTTGCAAAGTACTACTACCAAATCTACAAGTACGGGTTGCTTCCAAGGGGTGAGATCTTCTCAGTGTTCTATGAAGAGCACCTGCAGCAAGCCATCGCTCTCTACAAACTTTTCTACTACGCCAAAGACTATGAAACTTTCTACAAGACTGCTGTCTGGGCTCGTCAACATGTCAACGAAGGTGTTTATTTGTACTCACTGTCTGTTGCTATAGTCCACCGGGCTGACACCTACGGGGTTATTTTGCCCCCAATCTACGAAATCTACCCGTACTACTTTTATAATAACGAAGTCATCCAACAAGCGTACCGGTACAAGCAACAGTACTACGGACAAGGGGCCCAACAAGGTGAAGAGCACGGTAGCTACCATGGTTACACCATCAATGCTAACTACTCCGGGTACTACTTGAACCTCCACCCTGAACAGTCTCTGTCGTACTTCACTGAAGATGTAGGTGTCAACGCGTTCTACTACTACTACAATATCTTCTACCCTCACTGGCTGGGTGGTGACGAATACGACTACGAGCACGACCATCGTGGCGAACAGTACTACTACGTGTATCAACAAATCTTAGCCCGGTACTACTTGGAACGTCTTTCTAACGGTTTCGGAGAAATTCCGTTCTACAATTGGGAAGTGCCGTTCGAGACTGGGTACTATCCGTCGCTGCAGTACCCCAACGGGTTGCAATTCCCAACGAGGCCCAACTATGCCCACTTGTATGAATATTTCTACAACTATGGTCAGAGGTACGGAAACAACAAGTACGCCTACAGTTACACCCACGTCCAAGACTATGAAAGAAGAATCAGTGAAGCCATCGACAGAGGATACGTCTACACAGTAAGTACCGTTGTCGTACCACTAGCAAAATCTATCACTCTTTTCGTAGCATGACGGCGAAAAAGTCAATCTATACACCGAAGAAGGCTTCAACGTTCTTGGTAACTTGGTCGAGTCCAACCCCGACTCACCCGATAGGTACTACTACGGAGCTTTGCACGTCTACGCCCGTCACCTCCTAGGGTACTCATACCAACCCGTAGACAAGTACCACGTGGCTCCTTCAGCCCTCGAGCACTACGAAACGTCCCTCCGTGACCCAGCTTTCTACCAATTCTACAAGAGAATCGTCTTGTACTTCCAGAAATACAAATCTCGTCTACCCTCTTACACCGAACAAGATTTGTACTTCCAGGGTGTTGAAGTAAAGAATGTCGAGTTCGACCGTCTTGTCACCTACTTCGACTACTTCTACTCCGATGTGAGCAACGCTGTGTTCGTCACTCCTCAAGAATACGAAAACGATAAAGTACAAATCCGAGTTCGTCAAGAGCGTCTCAACCACAAACCTTTCACCTACAAGATCTACGTTCAATCCGAGAAGGAACAAGAAGCTGTCGTGAGGGTGTACCTTGGACCTAAGTACGATGAGTACGGACGGTACTTCAACATCAGCCAGAACCGTCTTAACTTCGTCGAGTTCGAGCACTTCAAGTACCAACTGAAGGCTGGCGAAAACGTGATCGAACGTAACTCGCACCAGAACTACTTCTTCGAGAATGATCGTACTAGTTACAAGGAGTTGTACCAGCAGGTTGTTGGTGCTTTGGAAGGTAACGGGGAGTTCAGTGTGGACGCCGATGAGGCCTATTTCGGTTTCCCAAGGAGATTCTTGTTGCCGAAGGGTACTTATGGTGGTCAAGAATTCCAGTTCTATGTGATCGTGAGCCCGTATGTTCCGTACAAGCACCACCAGGAAGAGTATGACGATTCTAAGTACTATTATCCAAGAGTGGGTTCTGGTGCCCAACATATTGACAATTATCCATTTGGATATCCATTTGATCGTCCGATCCACTACGACCAGATCTTCTACAACATCCCCAACTCGTACTTCTACACCACGAAAGTCTACCACAGACATGTTGATGATATCAACACTTCCACTTCTACCAGCCATCATCATTAGGGTACCACGACGAAAAGTTCCGATGTCTTTCAATGAATCTTATGACTTGTATTATTTGGATTAATAAACTGCATACACAACATTTTTGTTATTTTATTTTATTAATATACTTCGTTTAGTTTGATACGCAGACAACAAGTTGTGTGACATCCAATGAAAATAAACGAGCTATAATAAATATAGTCAGAGTACGCTTTGAAATATAACGAGACTGATAAAAAATTAATATTCTAAAATCTACATGTTTGCTTTATTATAAAATAAAACGAGTTTTAAAGACCTGCCTTGCTGGAAATTCATTGTTCAATATTAACCCACTCTCTCGCAGTTTACAGAACAAACAAAAGTCAAGTGGCAATGTACTTTTAAATTAGATTTAATTATGCACAAGTTTCAATAAGTAATTTGTTGAAGCGGCTGAGTTTTATTTTTTGCTTTGTTTTACGAGGTTTTGAAACTTGAGAAATTGGATTAAAGTTATTTCGATAGAACGTTCCTCGCCTCTGAAGTAGTGCAGTCGAACAAATCGAAATATCGAGAAATCGAACAATCGAAAAACTGGAACATCGGAATATTGATAAAAGGAAAAATGAAAAAATTTTAAAAATTGAAAACTTGGAAAATCGATAAATCTAACATTTTAAAAATCAAAAAATTAAAAAACCGAAATACTCAAGTAGGTGATAAATTGAAAGATAATTCAATCGAATCATAAAAAAAATCAAAAAATCCAGAACTTCCGAAAGTGAAAAATTAAAGTCAAGAAATCGAAAAAATGAAGTATTAAAAATAAAAAAATAGGAAATCGAAATATCAAAATATCGTAAAATTGAAAAATGTAAAAATTTTAAATTTCGAAAAATTAGTAAATTGAAAAATTGAAAATTCAAAATATCGAAAAATCGAAACAGAATAAGTTCAAAAAATTAAAAATTGTATAGTTAAAAAAAATCGATAAATCGAAAAACCAAAAAAATTGAAAAGTCGAAATATCCGGAAATTAGACAATCGAAAAATCGAAACACCGAAATCTCCATAAATCCAGAAATCGAAAAATTGAAAATTAAAAAATGAAAACACTTAAAAGCCAAAAAATTAAAAACGAAGAATTGAAAAATCGAAAAAAGGAGAAATCAAAAATTCTAAATTTCAAAATGTCGAAAAATTGAAATATCGAAAACTGAAACATCGAGAAATGGAAAAATTCAAAAATTCAGAAATTGGACAATTGAAAAATTGGAAGAACAAAGATTTTAGCAATCAAAGAATTGAAAAACCGAAGTACTGAAATTGGTGAAAAATCGAAAGATACAGCAATCGAAACATTAAAAAAATTACAAAATCGAAAAATTGAAAAATCCGGAAATTCCGAAAGTGAAAGTTTGAAAAACTGAGAAATTGAAAAAGCGAAACATTTTAAAAATCGAAAAATCGTCAAGTCAAGAAATTAAAAAAATGAAGTATTAAAAATTAATAAATAAGAAAATTGAAACATCAAAAAATCAAAAAATTCAAAAATGTAAAAATTTTAAATTTCGAAAAATTAGTAAATTGAAAAATTGGGAAGTCAAAATATCGAAAAATTGAAAGATTGATGATGAATCTAAAAGCTGAAAAGTCGAAAAATCGAAGGACCGAAGAATTGGAAAATCGACACATCGAAAAACTGAAACATCGAGCAACTGAAACAGAATAAGATCGAAAAATTAAAACTTGCGTAATCAAAAAAAAAAAATCGAAAAATCGAAATATCAAAAAAAAAATGAAAAGTTGAAGAATCGGGAAATTGAAAAATCGAAAAATCGAAACATCGAAATCTCCATAAATCCAGAAATCGAAAAATTGAAAATTAGAAAATGGAAAAATTTAAAAGCCCAAAAATTAAAAACGAAGAACTGAAAAATCGAAAAAAGGAGAAATCAAAAATTCTAAATTTCAAAATGTCGAAAAATTGAAATATCGAAAACTGAAACATCGAAAAATGGAAAAATTCAAAAATTCAGAAATCGGAAAATTCAAAAATTGAAAGAACTAAGATTTTAAAAATCAAAAAATTGAAAAACCGAAGTATTGAAATAGATGAAAAATCGAAAGATACAGCAATCGAAACATTAAAAAAATTAAAAATCGAAAATTCCGAAAGTGAAAGTTTGAAAAATTGAGAAATTGAAAAAGCGAAACATTTTAAAAATCGAAAAATCGTCAGGTCAAGAAATTAAAAAAATGAAGTATTAAAAATTAAAATATAAGGAAATCGAAACATCAAAAAATCAAAAAATTGAAAAATGTAAAAATTTAAAATTTCGAAAAATTAGTAAACTGAAAAATTGGGAAGTCAAAATATCGAAAAATTGAAAGTTTGATGATAAATCTAAAAGCGGAAAAGTCGAAAAATCGAAGGCCGAGGAATTGGAAAATCGAAACATCGAAAAACTGAAATATCGAGCAACTGAAACAGAATTAGATCGAAAAATCAAAAATTGCATAATTAAAAAAAAAAAAAATCAAAAAATAAAAAAAAAAATTGAAAAATAAAAAAAAATGAAAAGTCGAAGAATCGGGAAATTGAAAAATCGAAAAATCGAAACATCGAAATCTCGATAAATCCAGAAATCGAAAAATTGAAAAATTCAAAAATTGAAAAATTTAAAAACCAAAAAATTGAAAAATCGAAGAATCAACAATTTTAAAAATCAATAGTCGAAAAGTCGAAATATCTAAAACCGAGAAGTTGAAAAATTGAAATATCGAAAAACTGAAACATCGAAAAATGAAAAAATTCAAAAATTTAAAAATTAGAAAATTGAAAAATCTAAGATTTCAAAAATCAAAAAATTGAAAAACCGAAATACTGAAGTAGGTGAAAAATCGAAAAATAGAGCAATCTCGGAACATAAATAAAAATCAAAAGTCTAAAATTTAGAAAATCGTAAAATTAAAATATCGAAAAACTGAAAAATCCAGAAATTCTCAAAAGTGAAATTTTGAAAGATAGAGAAAACGAAAAAGCAAAAATTTTAAAAATTGAAAAACCGTAAAGTCAAGAAGTTGAAAAAATGAAGTATTAATAATTAAAAAATAAAGAAATTACTAAAATTGAAGAGTTGAGAAGTCAAAATATCGAAAAATTGGAAGATTTGATAAATTGAAAAGCTTAAAAGTCGAAAAATCGAAAGACCGAGAATTGAGAAAACCGCAACATCGAAAAATTGATAGATCTAAAAATCGAAACAACAAAAAATTTAAAAATCTAAAATTTAAATATGTATTTGAAAAATGGAAAAATAGAAAAAACGAAGAACTGAAAAATCGAGAAAAGGAGAAATCGAAAAATCAAAATTTTAAAATGTCGAAAAATTGAAATATCGAAAAACTGAAACATCGAAAAATGGAAAAATTCAAAAATTTCAAAAATTGGAAAATTGGAAAATTGGAAAATTGAGAGATCAAAATATCGAAACGAAAAATCGAAAAATTTAAGAATTGAAATGTTGAAAAATTCCCAAACTGTAATATCAAAAATATAAAAATTGAACAATCGAAGCAAAATGACGAAATAAAACTGGAAGATGGGAAAAATGAAAAATTGAGGAATAGACAAACTGAAAAATCAAAAAATCTACAAATCGAAAAGTCGAAAAGTCTAAAATTTAGTAACGCTAATAAAATTAAAAATTGAAAACTCGAAAAACTGAGAATTGAAAGACTAAAGAAACGAAAAATTGAAAAATCGTTAAACGCAAATGTCGGAAAATTGAGAAACCGAAAACTAAAAAATCGAGAAATCGAAACATCAAAAAATTGTTAGATTCAAAAATTCGAAAATTGAAAAATTGGAAAATCGGAAACTCGAAAAAATCGAAAAGATAAAAAATCCAGAGATTGAAATATCGAAACGAAAAATTGAAAGATTTAAGAATCGAAATGTTGAAAATCCCATAACTGAAATATCGAAAAATTTCTATAAAACGAGAAATATAAAAGTTGAAAAATCGAAGAAAAAATGATGAATATAAACTGAGAGATGGGAAAATAGGACATTAGTAAATTTTAAAAACCGGAAAATTGAAGAATTGAAAAACTGAGAAATCAAAAAATCTGCAAATTGAAAAATAGATTAATCGAAAAATCGAAAATTAGAAACGCTCAAACCTGAAAAATTGAAAAATCGTAAAACGAAATTATTGGAAAATTTAGAAATCGAAAAATAAAAAATCAGGAAATAGGAAATTAAACAAAAAACGAAAAATTGAGAAATCGGAACATCAAAAAATCAAAAAATCGAAAAATCGAATAATGGAAAAATCGAAACGATAAAAAAACTAAAGATACGAACATATATATGTACTTGAAAAATGGGAAAATTGAGTAGTTGAAAAATCGAAAAAACAAGAAATCTCGGGTCAAAAAAATGTAAAAATCCAAAAGTCGAAAAATCACTCAAACGAAATATTTTATTAATATAAATTAGAAACACCCAAAAACTGAAAAATTCATGGATCGAAAAATTGCAAATGATAAAACGAAAATGTCGGAAAAAATAAAAAATTAAAAAATCTAAAAGTTGAAAAATCGAAAAATTAAAAACCGCAAAAAAGCTGATCGAAGTATTGAAAATCCGAAAATTTAAAATTGTATAGTGAAAAACACGAAAATTACAATCGAAAAATTGAAAAAAAAAACATGCGATACATGCAAATGTTGGAAAATCGAAAAACTGAAAAACTGAGGAAACGAAAAAATGAAAATATTGGAATTGAAAGAAACAAAAATTTATAAAATTAGAACACTGAGGAAACGAAATTTTGTAAAAATAAAGAAAATAACAAACCAAAATGAAATATTGGAGAAATAAAAAATTGAAAATTTTTAAAATTGCAAAATTAAAAACTGAAAAATGATGAAATTGCAAATCTAAATAATGAAACATTTTAAATGTTGTAAAATCGAAAAACTGAGAAATTTAAAAATGAAAATTCGAAGAGTTACCTATCGTAAAATTGAAGAAACCCAAAAAATGAAAACTTGAAGAAACGAAAAATTGAAAAAACAAAAAATTATAAAATCGAAAATTTGTAAAAT